TTAAATGTTTATATTTATCATAGCAAACGGGGGAGAGGGGGAAAGGGGCTCGATCTTCATCAAGAACTCAGTGGGGAATTCTGGAGCCCCCCTTAGCTCTAATGGACTCACACATCATTGGAAAACAAAGCAGAGATATTTTTGCCTGGCTAATACTAGCTCAGTAACTTCCCCATGGGGGCACTGAAAGGAATACATTCTTAAATGTTTATATTTATCATAGCAAACGGGGGAGAGGGGGAAAGGGGCTCGATCTTCATCAAGAACTCAGTGGGGAATTCTGGAGCCCCCCTTAGCTCTAATGGACTCACACATCATTGGAAAACAAAGCAGAGATATTTTTGCCTGGCTAATACTAGCTCAGTAACTTCCCCATGGGGGCACTGAAAGGAATACATTCAAGTGTCACTCCACAGAAGGGTTAGTAGCCACTTCCTAGTCAGGCGCTCTGCTAGCAGATAGTCCTTAGGCTGGTGTGGGAAAGACCTGACCCAGAACAGAGCACTTCAGCATTACCCATCGAGAAGTGGCTCTAATTTATTTGTCTCCGAGCTCTTCTCGTTCGGGCCTGCCCGCCCCCTGCTTCTGCACTGACTGCGGCATCACCAGCACCGGTGGAGCCTGCACACTAGGGCTGCATCTAGACTGGCAAGTTTTTCTGCAAAAGCAGCCGCTGTCTACACTGGCCGCTTGATTTTGCGCAAAAGCACTGACGTTCTACTGTCTGAAATCAGTGCTTCTTGTGCAAATGCTTTGATGTTCCCGTTCGGGCATAAGCCCTTTTCCGGAAATGTTTTTGTGCAAGAGGGCCAGTGTAGAAAGCTAAAAACTGTTTTGCGCAAAAAAGCCCCGATGGCGAAAATGGCGATCGGGGCTTTCTTGTGCAAAACCACGTCTAGATTGGCACGGATGCTTTTCCGCAAAAAGTGCTTTTGCGGAAAAGCGTCCGTGGCCAATCTAGACGCTCTTTTCTGCACATGCTTTTAACGGAAAAACTTTTCCGTTAAAAGCATTTGCAGAAAATCATGCCAGTCTAGATGCAGCCTAGGGGGCCTGCAATCCCTATACAGAGTTAGAGAGTCAGCAAGTCATGCTTCGTGAAGCATGCTCCACACACAAAAAGCAGGGTACTAGTTCTAGGGCATCTAACCCCTGCTCAGCCTGGGAACTTTTTGTAGAGGCTGCCCATTATTCCCACTAGAGCCTGGGTGATGTGGACACCGCTATCCTAGGAATTGGATTGGAACAACTCGTTTCATAGACTTCTTAACAGCCAGACAGCGAGCAGCCTGGAGTGGATTTGAACTAATACCCTGACGGCGAAAGGCTCCAATTCCCATTACCAAGTCCCAGAGCCAGTGAGCCCACCCGCCTTGCTATACATTGCAAATGAGTTATATGCACACAACATGGAGCCTCCGAACAAGCACAATTTGCTGGGTTAAATTTTGAATATCAGTTTAGTGCAGGGTCAGAAATCTAGCCTCAAGTGTTCTGTCCCTTCTGGCTCGGGGCGCAGTGAGCCCATAGGCTCCTTCACTTGTAACCCTAAACTTTGTGATTCTCCCTCCCTGGCTCACAGCCACCAGCAGAATGATAGGTCTATTCCTCTCACAATGAACAGGCAATGCGTCACTTGAGTCCTCAGGGAGCCACCACCCGGCACGGGTCACTGGAATCACGTCAAAGCACAGGCCATGAGCGGTTTCAGCTTAGCAGAGAACAGTTGTGTGGGCTGCAATCCAAGAGCAAATTACATGTTGTGCTGAAGTTAAATCCACCCGCAATGAGCCCAGGGGAGACAAGTTCAAGTCCTATGACACATGGAAGAAAGCCAGGAAAACGCAGCACCAGAAGACCCTCCACAGCCAGCACTGGGAGGGAACATGGGTAAGGTGCCCACATGGGACACCTGGTAAAATTATTCACATTGAGGTGAGTTCAATGGCAAGCAATCAGCACTGGGCAGTAACACCTTCAAATTAACAGCAAGTTGACT